AGGGGAAAAAATCATTCTTAACCAACACAGCCCAGAAGGCAGTAGAGTGTTGAAAATAGTTGGATGGGTAAACTGACTCAACTGTCTACTAATATTTTACAGTACAAATGTTCGGGTATGTACAATGATCTGTGTATTTTTAAGTACACAATAGTCCTTTAACCTTTCGGTAAGATGAAGATGATTCATAGACACTAGTGAAGTTTCATCAGAGCTCAAAAAGTTGATGTGAAAGTCAGGAGGCCAGACTATAGGCTCAGTTCACAAAGCTTTACCACAAAGATAAAGTTGGTGTGCAGTCACAGAATACTTTAGTGCCCATCGAGAAATATAGAATTTATGTCAATCAAGTATTCATTTTGTCAAGTATTTTATTTTCTTGTTATTTTTATATATATATTTTTGCTGCGGTTGCTGGAACAGTCCATGAGTTCTTGCTTGCTAAATGGAGTTTACAGGGGACATGCTTATTATTAATGAAGATCTATCCAGTTGGAGATTACTGAAGGAGATCTGACTTTATTAATAATAAGCAATTTTTGTTCTTGTTCAGCGACTCATAGCAGATATTTTATTAGCATGACAGCCAGGGCTATAATAAAGGAATTAAGTAAGGTATGACAATTTATATAACAAAAATATAAACTGACAAAGGTGTATTATGTTTTTTGAATAAAAATAACATTTTAGGACAACTGAAGTTAAGACTAAAGGGCTTTTGCATATACAGTAGCAATCAAGCATGTGTTAAAGTGGACTTTATAGTAACTTTAAAAGTCTGCATGGCTGATTCCTTGATATGTCACAATATGCTGCATAGCATCAGTATAATTAAACAGTAAAAATTATATCTTTTATTAATAAAATGTCCTTGAGTTTGAGGTCCAGTTCATTGACTTTACCTAGGTAGAGATGATGTCACCAGTCTCTTCTTCCTAAGTCATCAGACTGCAACATTGTAACTTGGTAGAAAAGCTTATACCACTCTAGGAGGATATGTTCCCTACATTCCATTGCAATATCCAGGTGCTGAGCTGGCTCCTTTTTAACCAGAATATACTGCAGATTCAACAGAGGGATGACCACATTACCAGAAGGCAGACAAAAACCATTGTATTGCTGTGAATGGATAACGATGTTTACCTGCATTCCAGTCATGCTGCAATCTCTCTGTTGAATCTGCATTGTAACTCTATAGCAAGTCACAAGGTGAGAGGTTGCAGATGGGGCTGATCTGTGCCAGGCATATGCGAACATAGTCAATAAATGCATAGGCACCAGAATTTACTTGATTGGGTCACCTCTGAGGTGGCATCACAGCTCAGTAAGTACATACGTACCCTGAATTATGACTGCTTCCATTTGCTTTCATTTCCAGAAGAACCACATTTTTCAATGTCAGGGGGGTACTGTGATATCTGTATGATAATAAAGCTCTTTGGTGCATAGTCATGTGTTTCATTATCCATTAGGTACCAATATGGCTTGTCCTTTTACCATGGCTGATATGCTGCAGAACACAAGGCTGGTATCAGCAATCACAAGGTACCAAGCCACTTGGATTGGCTCAGTTCACTATCACTGTGTACTGAGCCATCTGAGAATGGTTAAGTACACAGAGATTAGTGGGTGCAGCAGGCACCCACCCAGATAGCAAGGATAACTTGCTACAAACTTGTGGCAGGGTTAAATTGTAATTCTTGTTAACTTGCTGCACACATTCCTGGCAAGTTGTAGACTTGCAGAACACTTGCAGAACACTTTCTAATTGACACTTTTTTAATTTGTAGCAAATTTGCTTTGCAAGTCTACAGCAAGAGTCCTGCAGGTCTTAGCAAGAGCTCTGTAGTTGTACAGCACTTTTACAAAGCACGTTGATCTGGAGACTTGCAATGCAGACTTGCTGTAATTGTGCAACAAAATTGTGAAGCTTGGCAAGTCTGAAATAGTTTAGCAAGTCATTTTCAAACTTGCAGCTCAATTGCTTCCTATCTGGGATCTTACTTAGCATGCATGCACTCAACATGGAAGAAATAGATATAATGCTTGGCCCATTTAAACTCTTTTTCTAACTTGCACTTTACTATGGTAATCAATGCTCTTCTTGCTAATTTCTTCTGATTAGCCACAAAACATGTGCTGATTTTATTTAATTATCAATTGTACATAGTATTATTAGCGGCATTCCATAACTGGATGGGTTGCTTTAGGAAATATAGACTCTCTAACTGAAAAATATACCGAATGTTACAAAGAACATGTTATCCGTGCAAACGTGTTGACAAATACAGTGAATTTGTGAAATAAATTATAGCCTGGTAAATATGTTCTTATACATAAGAAGAATTCTGGATTATCATTGAGTACAGTGATACTTCTTTTTTCTATAGGAATGATCTTAAACAAGCCAAAACCAGGAGATGAATTCAACATGTCAGGTTTTTCAATTCAAGCATTTTCTTATTTTCCCAGCACTCAAATCCCAATTTTCTTGATATTTTTGCTCATCTATATTTCCATGATTGCTGGAAACCTCACTATTGTGACTCTTATATTAACCACCCCTCATCTACTCACCCCAATGTATATCTTTATAGTGAATCTTTCAATTATTGACATTGCTTCTACATCAAACATTTTACCCAAACTATTAGTTATAATCTTAACAAAGGAAAACACCATTTCATTTGCTGGATGTATAACTCAAATGTATTTTTTTGTGTCATTGACTTGTACAGAGGTCCTCTTGCTGGCAGCCATGGCCTATGACCGCTATATAGCCATTTGCCACCCTCTTCATTATGTCATATTTATGAGCTTAAGGCATTGCATTGGTCTGTCACTGACCTCATGGACTGTTGCTTTTTTGGATCTCAGTGGACACGCTATTTTAATCTCTAATTTATCCTTTTGTTCATCTCATCTTATTGACCATTTCTTCTGTGACCTAGCTGCATTGCTTAAGATGTCTTGCAGTGACACTTCTATAATAGAACTTTTAAACTACATTGAAGGGACCATACTGGGCATTATAACATTTCTACTCACAATAATATCATATATATTTATTATTTCATCAGTTCTTAATATAAAGTCTTCAGAAGGTCGGCATAAAGCATTTTCTACCTGTACGGCTCACCTATCCTGTGTGACAATTTTTTATGGGACAATCATCAGTTTGTATATGAGGCCCACTTCAAGTTACTCACCAAAACTGGACAAATTTTTTGCCTTTCTGTATGTAGTTTTGGTTCCGCTAATCAACCCAATTATTTATAGCTTGAAAAATGAAAATATTAAAAAAGCACTCAGACGAAAGATACACATTTTATAAAGTGTCAAATACGACATACTAAAATGTTATGACACAAAGTGCGTTTTGAATCTGTTTTTGTGCTAGCCTAATAGTTTTACATGTTATTATTGTTGTTTTCCTTCCCGGTCAGAATACAGAAACACTTCCCTGGTTGGAATACAAATGACTAAATCTGTCCATGTGGCCCTAAGGAGAAGAGAAAAAGGATGTTCTCTGTTATTTCACTAACAGGAAATTGTTAAGGGGACATTTAAAAATCCTTCTAGTTCACTTGCATACCTTGTATGTTTACCTAGGAACACTCATTTATTTTCAAGAGAATAAATACACTTCTAATCTGATAAAGAAATTCCTTAGACTTCATAATAGTTAATCAAACAGATAAAACCGGTGTTGATATCACTACACTGTTGTATCCTCAATCCAAACTTCATTTGGGGACAGCCCTCACAACCTCAACCGGGGAGTTTGAAAAACAGAAAACAGAAAAAGGCACCTCCTCCTTGTGTAATATAAATTATTAAAGAAACTTAAAAATGGATACTGGTACTCACAAACATAGTGAGGACATAAACAACACCAACCTAGCCCTCCAAGATTTTATATGCAGAACTCAAATGGACAGCATAGCCAAACAGAGTAATCCCCCGTCACTGGACTCGCCTGTGACGCAGCTTAGTGCTTATGCTCTTCAGGGGCAAGCCTCCTTCCATTGATGGTGAATTGCTTTGTTTGGCTATGCTGTCCATTTGAGTTCTTCGGTTAAGATCTTGGAGGGCTCGATTGGTGTTGTTTATTCCCATGCCCCTACACGGCAGGTCTCCGTGGCTAGATCAGAGGGAGATCAGCACACTTTTACTGGCCGATCTCCTCTCCAATCACTGGACCAGGAAGTGATGTGTATTTCATAACTTCCAGTTTCAGTGAGTAATTTTTCTCCAGCTGCCATAGCCGGAGAAGAAGCAGTTATCAATTTCATCAGCTGACATAAGGGCTTTAATAGACCCATGTTATCTCAATAAAGGGGACCTGTCATTGTATTTGTGCTATCACAGAGCAAAGCATGAGTCAAAAACCAGGAGATCAGTCAGCCAGAGCCAGAGCCAGGATCATACACAGAAATCAGGGACACAGTAGCACACTTGGGTGATCAGAACAAAGGCAAAACTGAGTGCACAAGGTGAGGTTACATAGTGACCTGGTGCCTGCATCATCACTGTGGGACAGGAATTACCCAGGAGTCTTGCCATTGCAGCAGAGTGATGATGTGTGTGTGGGTTTGGACATAAGAGGGAGCCAAAGAGCAACCACGGTGTCACAAACACTTCAGCCATGATGCAAGCAGGACAAGGCAGGGTAAGACCCTGACAGTGAGACCCACACACAATTCTGGTGAGAAGCACACTTGCCCACAAAGCCCTGGTGAGACGCTGCACGCAGCCCTAGTGAGACCCGCACCTGCTCGCGCAGCCCTGGTGAGACCCTGCACAATGCCCTGGTGAGACGCTATAGGCAGCTCTGGTGAAACCCTGCACACAGCCCTGGTGAGCAACATGGAGTATGTAGCTTCATTTTATTCTTCATTGCTGTATAATGTTATGCTGGGATTTGTAGTCCTTCTACAGTTTGGAGTAAGTGGCACAACTACCAGGGTCACAGCAGTTCCAGCTGCGTTCTGGCACTTACACTCCACCACTGTCCTAAAATCATTAGTCTGTACTGTTTTAGAAAAACTGTCACATAACGCTAAACATAGGGTATTGGTAATTGGTATTGACTAGTACTTGAGGAAAAGTATCGGTACTCGTACTTGGTCTTGAAACAATGGTATCAGTGCATCCTTAATGGTAAATTAAGTAGGTGAAAGTTCATAGCTTATAGTGTGTGTACAGACACACATATAATACAACACATATTATAACAATATATAATAACACATATTCACATACAAGTAAAAGCTGATATCCATAGAAAACTACTACTAAGCTACTTGTAACCACTAAAAAATACTATTATTATTATTATTATTAGAAATACATTTCATTTAAATCTAGAGAGAATTAACATCATCTATTTTCATGCAGAGAAAAAAAGTACAGTTTCTTTCAATTGTGTTCTTCATTCTCCGAGGTATTTACTAGAATTGTTCTTTTGTTTACTTTCATAAAGTTTCATGCCAGAAAGTTTCACTTTTTTTTTTGCATTTTGATTATGATGTCTCTTATTTCTTCAATACTTTGAACTCCTCCAAATGAGAGAATCCTATTCTTTGTTTTCAGTTCTGTTTGGCAATTGCCTGCAAGAAATCAGAATTCCACAATATTTTACAGCACCAGTCACTTGGACTTTCTATAACGAGCTTCAATACTTTTTGCAGAACATTCTATCATCTATGCATTGTAAATACTTGGAAAGGGTAGAGAAGTGGTGAAGTGATGAACAGTGCATGAAGGAAAATAATATTTGTTGAAAACGTTCAAGAGAAACAAAGGACAATGTATGCCTCAATGGTGATTATGAACACAGATATTTATTCTAGTATATCTAAGTGTCCAGCTGGGTGTTATGACGTGGTTAACATGGAGTTCAGCTTTTCAAAATTGTGGTGAAGAGTCTTAGAAGCGTTGCTGATGTGCAGGGGTCTTATGACATGGATTATGATGAATATGAGGAGCAAACAATTTGCTTGGGAAACCTCTGAGCTGTAGGAATCTGTCCAGCTTGGAGATCAGGGAGGCACTAACAAACAAGAATTCCTGCAATACTTTCATAGGAAGGGTGTTGTTTGTTGATGAAGAGAAGGTTGAGAGGAATGTAACACAGCCTGGAAGAGTCCACTGGATGTTACCCTAATGTAAAGATGGCTCAGAATGTACAGCACAAAACAATAATTGACAAACCAAATGTTCATAAGTCTTCCTAAACCAATAACATCTGGTCAGATCAGATCATGTGTGTGTATGTGTGTGTGTGTGTGTGTGTTGCATCACAGCACTGTGCATGAGCTATTAGCAGCTTCCCTGCACAGTTCTGCTGTGGAGAAGGCACTATTCAGTATTTTAGGTATTAACAATTGATGTGTCAGGTAATAAGGGAGGACCTCTTTGGTCATGACAGTGTAGGATGTGACCCACACTTTCCCTCTAGGTGTGCTGTGCATTAAAACACAGCACACCATTAAATATCACCTAATCTGTGATATTTACAAGGAAATCTTGTGCTGCAAGAAAAGTTAGTTAGTTAGTTAGTTAGTTAGCTAGTTAGTGAGTCCCATTCTCCCTCCTGGATGTTTTTCTTTATGTTTTAGAGAATTCAACAGTAGAAACAGACTCTCCATAAAACCCGAAAGCCTCGAAGATGGATCCGGGCTGATCAGATCATGTATTTGTGTGTTTGTGTGTGTGTGTGTTGCATCACAGCACTGTGCATGAGCTATTAGCAGCTTCCCTGCACAGTTCTGCTGTGGAGAAGCCATTGTTCAGTATTTTAGGCATTAAAAGTTGATGTGGCAGGGAGTAAGGGGGGACAATTGTGGTCATAAGAGTGTAGGATGTGACCCACACTTTCCCTCTGGGTGTGTCCTGCATTGAAAATAAACATGGATGTCACGAAAGTAGAAGGTGGCCAAAAAAGCAAGGGGAAGTAAAGGGAGGTGCAGTTAGAAGAGCCCAGTACAAATCTAGCACTGTTGCATATATAGCTACACCACTGTGAAAATGTCTACAAAAAATTATATTGAACACAAAAAAGTCCTGAAATGAAAGTCTTGATGAATATAAGAAGATATAGGGAAGTTATAAGGAAAAATGATGATGTGAAGAAAAAATGATAAGCAAGCAAGAATCAACAGTTTTTAAAAAGTGTTACATACAGTATATGTGTATTTATGTTCACTTACTGTATTCATTTGAGAATTTGCTGTCAATCATTTATGTTATTACATTTGTATCTATAAAAATTGGGTAGTTACAGCTTACACAATACACTTAAGGTGGACCTTTACCCACTTTTGACTAAAAATCTCTCTGCATGTTGGTATGAAATCATCTCACTTTCATTAGCTAAACAAACATGTTTTTTTTTTACTTACAATGTCTTTTTTTTTCTACTTCCTGGCTCACTTTGGCACAAATGATGTAATCATGCCCAAGCATTGCATCCTGGGAAGGTTACATCAGCAGAGCATTGCTGGGAAATCTCATCTGTAATCTCACAAGATCTCAGAGAAAGGCATTTTCCTCCCCTGAGATGATATGCAAGGTCACATGTCTAAGTTACATGTGCCAGAGCCAAGGAAAGGGAGATTGAGTAACCTGCCCTTAGTTAAAATGACCACTGTGAGAAGAATCTGTTTGTAGATTGTCATTACTAAACATTTTAAAGGTGCCTTTGTTGTTATTTTTTTATTATTTATTTATTTTTCTTTGTTGTTATTTTGAAGACATGGTTAAATCCCCATTTAAGTCTAGAACTCAAGCACCCCAAATAGATCAAACCATTGTAGGATTTCCCTCAGTTAAACAGATGTAGTGATTTAAAGGCAAATATTATATTGCTTTTATCTTGTAAATATTAAAACATTCAAAACATAATCTGGTGGATATCTGAGGACCAGAGATAAAATACAATGAGGGAAATTAATCAAAACTGAGGCAGACAAAATCTGAAGCAATTGTCCATAGCAAGCAATCAGCTTCTCTTTTCAGTTTGTTCAGTTAAGATTTGAACACTAAAGAGAGAAGCTGATTGGTTACCATGCACAGCGGCTCCAGATTTTGTCTGCTTCAGTTTTGATAAATTCCCCCCAATGTTTTCAATTACATTTATTGCTTTCCTGTTTATTCATTCATGTCCCACATTATGAATGTTTGCCTGTTGCCTTAAATTTGTATTTATGGGTCCATCCACTAAAAATTTTGAATTTTTGGTAGGGGCTTCAGATTGCAGCCACCTAATCTGTGATATTTATGAGGGAATGTTGTGCTTCAAGAAAAGTTAGTTAGTTAGTTAGTGGGTCC